CCAGCAGGGGGGAGCCCTATGCTTTGGGAGGGGTTCCCCCGCCCAGCAGCGGGCATAGGAGTGCTCTATAGAGGCAAGGAACAGGCCCCACTGCCCGGCACAGGTCTCTTGGTGCATCCTAATGGAGCTCAGCACCAGTAGCAGACCCCAGCTCAGAGGGGGCTGAGACAGCGGTGGGGGAAACCACCTGGGCAGACACCAGCTCAGGGGGGCCAAAACTAGAGCAGGGGGCTTTGTTCTCCTCCTACCTCCTGCAGGTCAGAGGGAGAGACTTGCAGGGAGCAGGGCTGTGCAGCCAGCCCTGTTGGTGGGGAGGTAGGAGGAGAGAAACCCCAGTGGAGTAGGGCCCCCCAGCTGGGCAGACCCCAGCTCAGGGGGAGCCGAGGGCTGTGGTGGGGGGCTCCATTCCCCTGCCTCTCACCCCACCCCCCACAGTTGGGCTGTTTAACTGGTGCCCACCTGCCATAGTTGTGACTTCCCCAGTCACTGGCTGCAAAAGCAGCCAGGGTCTCTGGACTTCCCTCCCTCCTTCAGCTTTAGTGTTCTGTGACTACCCCAGGAGCAGTGCAGCATGGCACAGCACGGCACAAGGTGCTCAGGGTGAGACCAGGGCTGGCACAGTGCAGCAATGGGAGTGGGTGGAGATGTCAATATGGCAGACAGCTCAGGGGCCTGTGTACCCCACTGGTGCAGCCTGAAAGGCATGCAGCCACTTCAAAGTTGGAGAGCTCAGAGCTACCTGATAAGTTATAAGCTAAGCAAGTGCCTCTGCAGTTGGTCTCTGTGGCCTACCAGAGAGGACTATGACCAACAAAGCTACACTGCCAAAGCTACACTGCCAACTTTAAGTCTCTCTCTCCGTATCTAGCTGCTGCCATATTATAATAAACAAGATTATTGAGATGTCACTCTCTCTGTTTTGCCAACAAGTTCTGATCATTGCTGCTGTTTTTCTCCATTGTGTGCAAATGCCTCAAATCAAATGGAACAAACATAAAAAGGCAGATGCCTTTAGAATTGATAGGAAAACTGCCCTTTCACTGAGTTGAAAAAGTCTTGTTTAGAAATTTGGGCGCTCTGAACTTTCACTGCATTCAAGGCAAGATTACATAGGAACTCTTCTTGGATTCTTAGAGGGTTTGCTTCAGGTCTGGAGACTCAGGAAGATCCAGTAGTCAACTGGTAGATCCATCCTAAGGCTAGAGGCCTTGGAGGTTTGCAGTGTTCAGGGAAATTGATGTTCTTGTGGATTTCACTAAGAGCTGTGAGGTCTTGGAAGTCTCTTATTTGCCAGAAATTTCAAAAAAGTTTGTTTCAAATCAAATACACATTAAAAGAAAATGACATTTTCTGCAAACTAGAAACCAGACTTTATTTTTTTTTCTGACAAAATATAATCCAGGCATAAGAATTCTTAAACTAGTAGTAATACAATATACTTCTTACCAGACAGAATTTAGGAGACAACCGGCCTTTTAACTAGGACCAAACTACCAGTAGATGGTGTAACTTGGTAAAAATGATGAAAAACTCATGCCCCCAGAAGTAAACATTTAAGACAAACACAATGACCTAAATGGATTATTACTTTGAAGTTGACTGAAAGCAGGAAAATACAGCCAGCCAGCTGTCCCTAAATGCAACGAAGAACTTTGTTCCCTGATGTGAAAAATACAGAAAACAAATTAAACCATTCCTATTTTCTGTTTTTAATTTGTATGGTTTTCAAATACCGCCCACCCCCTCAAAAAAACTAAACAAAAAGCAACCCCCACAATCCATCTCTAAAGTGTGGCCTATGTTATAAATTTTTGCTAGTATAGCAATGTTATGTTTGTGATACTCTGTGTTTCCTAGTCTACCAAAAGCCCTAGAGCAAACCAGCATAAGACTCCTCTTACCAACAGAGCTAATTTCAGTTGGGAAAAAGAGATACTGTCAAAAAGCACTTTTTTGCCGGTGTAAACTACATCTCCTCTATAGAGGCAAACTTTCTGTTTGGTCTTGACTAAAGGAAGAAGTATAACTACAGCCTCCCTCTAAAACAATGAAGTACATCTCAATGACTTCTTTTAACTAAGTTGTGTGCAAATCTCAGCCAATGAAAGAACCAGAAGGGAGGGACTAATCAGAAAAGACAGACAATGCAAATGTTTACTGCAACTATTTGCTAGGTTTGCCATTATGACATTTATTTTGCCAACTTCACCGACCTTTTGTGTAACATTGCTGTGTACCATATTTCATCACAGAATGAACGTAATTTCATTAGAGGCATCTGCTCTGTTACAATTAAAAAAACAACCTTTAGGATCATAGTTTGAAAAGTACTTACGTTTAGCAAATCCATCCCCTGGATAAATATACCTATTGTACACATCCATGATATATACCCTTTGATCATCCATGAAGTCCCTTTCATGGCCATTCCCCTAAGGAGAAATTACAGTTGGTTAATTCTAACAAATCCATGAAGAATTAAAAAACCTGTGAGCATTAAGGAAATAAAGATTACAAAGATGCAGTGCTTAAAGTTCCATACATATTCACTTACTGGTTTCCTTAAAGGTTTTTCTGTTATATCAGTTTCATATTCAGCTTTGTTAAATCAGCATCATAATAGGCATTTGGAGATTTAGAAGTATTACAGTGCCACTTGTAAAGACTGGGTATTGTTCTTTAGCTTTCTTACTGAATCATTCAGTGTCACAATGAAAATCTGTGACCAAGAACAGAAAATCAGATCACCCAACTTCTATCTCTGTAACTGAACCAACATCATTTTATATTCCAGAAATCTGGCCACTACTCAGAGGAGCTTAACCAGGATCAGAGTTTTTTTGATAGCCAAAAAAATGTAAATTGATCTTCGGGAAAGATCACAGGGGAAAAGAGTCATGTAATGTAACAACACATTGTATCATTGTATTTTATCACTATAAAGCTAATAATTTCTACTGAAATATTAGACTAGAGAATAAAGCAGGATGGGGAGGGGGGAATCGGATCATTTTGCTTCCTCTCTCCTCTCTGAATTCCGGTATTATATTAGTAGTTAAAATAAATAACACCTTCATTGTTTCTGGACAACAAAAGTAATTAGTCTAACAATACAGACTGAGCAGGTTTGTAGAACAAGTCCACATGCTTCCACCTCTTAGATCTTTATTAGGATTTATGCTGAAAATCCTAGTACCAAATATGAGATTTGCTCTTGGTATACATAGTAAATCACTTCTCCAGTAGAAGGTATTCTGTACTCCACTAGCCTGGAGTCAGGCTTTCCATTACAAATACTGAAGGTCAAACTCATCTCCTGTAAAGACTGCTGTGATGATTATGTATGCTGAACTAATTATAACTAGTTTCTTGTTTCTTCTGGGATACCAAACAACACTCAGAAATAGCATGCTGAGGAATTATATGCAAGAAAAATATTTTTATACTCTGGCCACAAGATGGAGCTACAACTCAGTTTAAATTTACAACACAATAATTTATTGGGATAGTTTTATCCCTCCAGCTAAGAACCATAAAATATAATTAAACACCAGGGCTGTTCTGAATAATTAATAATCAAACACAGTAATTGATTATTTGATGAGTTTCTATAACCAGTCATTTAGATCATATCCATTTTAATTTTTGCTGACAATGTTTGAGAAAGTGGTAAAATATTAGTAAAAACTGGAACTAGTGTAATTAATATTTTTCTAAAATATCTACAAGTTACCTGTAGAACTGAGGATTGTCCTGTAGCTGAAAGAGAAGCCAATATGACCTTGTCTCTGCTATCCTTTTTTCTTTAGTTTGTCAGACAATTGTAGAGGTATACAACTTTCTCTCTCAGTGACATGAAGAAATCACACACATACTGTACTAATAAATGTAAGATGTGCATATGTGAACATATGTACCCAAGTGTGATTTCTGCATCAAGCTGAGAGAAAACCCTCCCCCAAAATGTCTGAAAGGCAAAGAAAAATTTCATATGTATAAAAGTATATGTTTGTATTAAAATATGAACTTGAATTTCAGTACTATTAACATCAGTTTTAAAAAGTGAAACTTAAAAATAATTCTAATATAATTTGTAGTGGTTGAAATGTTACTGTAGCCATGATGGTAATAAAAATGTATTAAAGATGTAATGGGGGACTGCTGTTCTGCTTTTTTTTGTGATAGCCTTTATTTAACCAGCAGCAGAGATGGGAAAGAAGTCTGACAAACTTTCAGGCACAAAGTACCGTTCTTCAGGTCTTGGAAAGAAGCTAAGCTAAATAACAGAAAAAAATTCTACTTCTCAGACATCTTGCATTCCTTAAATGATTGTTTTTACTTATATGAAGTTAAACAATCGCTTTTCTTTTTTATTATTCAGCAAATCATTATTTTATTTCAGGCAATGATTAGCATAAACATTTTTCACAAAGATGGTCCAGAGTCTAAAATGAATGCCTAAAAGCTTAATGGATTTGGATTTACAGAACATAACGAGAGAGAGAGAGAGAGAGAGAGAGAGAGAGAGAGAGAGAGAGAGTGTGTGTGTGTGTGCGCGCGTGCGCAGCACAACAGGACCAACATCAGCACTAAATAACTTCCTTGAGGATAAGCAAAGCACTGACCAATAGCAGCTTCATAGGGCAAAGCATAAGAAAAAAAGATTAGCCTTTCATTGTGCCCTAAAGGTCAAAGTATTCCTGCTACATGAACAGAGGTAAATTCTGGAGTCAAGCACTCTCATTCTGAGTCCCAAGACATACAAAGGAAGGGACTATTCAAAGATACAACAGCTAATTAGAGTTGTCAAGATAGGTGGTCTCTTGGGGATCTAGACCCAGACTGTATTGATTTTCTCTGTGTAGGATTGCAGCTGGAAATGAACAGACAGCCCACTGCAAAAGTCACAGACTAAGTAGCATGTGTTCTGCTTGAGAGCTCTACTTTATATTTTAAATCAATGAAATTTACATCAGGGCTTACTTAGTCTGCAGAAGAGAAGACTGGAGGGGAATATGATAGCCATTCACTACCTGACGGGGGGTTCCAAAGAGGATGGAGCTACACTGTTCTCAGTGGTGGCAGATGACAGAACAAGGAGCAATGGTCTCAAGTTGCACCAAGGGAAGTTTAGGTTGGATATTGGGAAAAACTCTCTCACTAGGAGGCTGGTGAAGCACTGGAATGGGTTACCTAGAGGTGGAATCTCCATCCCTGGAGGTTTTTAAGGCTTGACTCAATAAAGCCCAGGCTGGAATGATCTAGGTGGAATGGTCCTGCTTTGAGCAGGTGGTTGGACTAGATGATCTCCTGAGATCCTTTCCAACCCTAATTTTCTATGATTCTATGTTAAACTCACCTGCACCCCAGGCTGGATACAGACTGCAAGAAGCCCCCCGGGTCAAATCTGGACACAGTAAGAGTGGCAGGGGAAGTGGTGGTTCTGGGTTTAATACTTCCCTTCATTGCCAACACATGTGCCCATCCATTGCTGGGAATTCAGTAGCAGGTCGATCCGTAAAGTCCTGCAAGACTAGGTGAGATGTCTCTATGTGCCAAATCTGGCCCGTAAACCACATATTTGACATACCACTAAAAAAAATCATTCCATGCCCAGAGGATGCAAACAAACAGATTAGGAGTGGTTTGATAAATCATAATAAAGTAGGGCTTGTGTGTTTTTTGTTTATAAAAGATAAAACTTGTTTAGGAATCCATCCAGGACATTCCTTAATCTAGCTTTTCTTTAGCTTATTCACTTCAAAATATCTAACCATGAAATAAGCATGCACAAAAATGCAAGATGATCTTCATTCACAGCTCCAAGTTCAACTGAGATAAAAAAATGGAACGGTTGCCCTTACCAAAGAATGCTTTAAAGGTGATTGTAACAGCACAACATGTTGGAAGCTGCAATGGCAAGAAAACAGATTGTTTTCTTTGGCTCTCTCCTCAAAAGTAAAAGTCCTAAGGGATAAATCCACAAAAGAAAACAGACATGGGCAACTTACAATTGTTCATTTCTACTGGTAGAAAAATAGCCTGGGTAAGTTCCATCCCCATGGCTCAAGAGCTACACAGGTGAACTCTCCAGCCAGGGGCACTAGAAGGCTGCTCCCTGGCCCACTAAGTTAAAGCACCACCACTGGTATTTTGAAGCATTGGGATGCTGAATACACGACACCAAGGCTGCTGTAGTATGCTAATTAGCAAATCAAGTCTGCTCCAACATATGCTAATTAGCACGTGTGAGAGCAGGCATTAGGCATGTGTATAGGTGCCCTGTTTGCCTGTCAGAGCTCTTATCAGGGGAAGTCCCCTAACATCAAAATGTGTGAATGGCTGAAATATGTGTTCCCTTCTCTACCTGGAAACCTAACAGCAAAAGGCACACATCATTTTGTGAAGTTTTTGTCTCTGTAAAGAATTGTTGTCTGAAATAATTGTTTTTGGGACCCAGAACACACTATGGTTAAAGTGTAGATGTAACCATGAGCTTTACAAAGCCTTCACAGTTGCATTTACTCAGAGACAAAACCAAAGAATACTGAAAAGTAAGAATGAATACTTCCAAAAAGAAACAAAAAAAATGTAAGCCACCAGAACACGATACTGGTTTCTATTTTCCAGTTCCTGGTTTATTACACAGGAAAAGATTTAAATATAGTAACATGATTCCATGCGATTCACCTTGAAAAGAGCTGATCTGAATAAATTCTCTCTCTCTAGAAGGGTCATAATTAGGGCTGTGCAAAACAGCACCGTTCCGATTTGACTCGCGTTTCAACGGAACAGCGTTTCGTTTCAAATTTCATTTTGATTCGAAACTGCTGTTCCGTTTCATTTTGTTGAAACAGTTTTCCTGTTTCGACACTGTTTCAACGTTCTGCCCATAGGCTATAATGGGGAAACTCGAAACAGCCTACAACTGTGTGATTTCTGACCTGATTTAGATAAAACTTGCAGGAATTGTAGCCCCTTCTGAAGGCATGAAGCCTGCCACATTTCAAAGAGATAGGTGCAGGGGTTTCAGGGAAACTGCACCTCAAAATCTTGAAAGCAAAAAACTCATGTCACGTGTATGTGTTATGCCACAGTGGGGTCAAAACTGCAGGCATGCTAGCCCCTGCTGACGCCGAAAAGCCTGCCAGCTTTCAAGAAGATAGGTGACCTTGGTGGTTGTGGGACTGTCTCTGTCTTGGGGCACAGGGGGTGAAAACTGCAGGCCTGCCAGCTGTCAGGGAGATGGGTGCAGGGCTTCTGGGTTCTGAGGCCCTGCACTTCTACCTGCTGACAGACAAAACTTGCGACATGGGTGGGTGACATTGTGTGTGTGTTAAGGTGCACCCTCACTCAACTGACACCAAGGCAGAAAGCAGGGAAGTTCAAACAGTGCTGCCTTTTATGCAGTTTTTCCATCCCTCCCTCAGAGCACTGGGATTGGAAGGGACCTCAGGGAAGGATCACTGTCACTAGTCAGCTACACAGTCAATAATGAGAGCACTCCTTCCCCCCGCCCCTCCCTCTCCTTACTTCAGTTTCTGTTTCCCTGTGGGCAAGCCCAGCTTGAGCTTCAAAACTTGAAACATTTCAAAAATTTCAAAATGTTTCAACTTGCCTCATTTAGTTTTGAGGCTGTTTCAAAGCTCTCTGTTTCATTTTGCTTTCGCTGTTTCAAGTTCAAAATGAATTGAAACAGCATCAAAACGAAATTGCTGGCAAAATTTTGCACAGCCCTAATAAGAAACCAAAAGTCAAAACATTTCAATTACTGATTAAATTTACACCAACCTTGCAGAAAACACAGACCCTCAACTCAGCAAAGCATTTAAGCTTTCCGGAGAGAAGTTTAAAGCTCCTACACACAAACCAACATGCTTTACTGAGCAAGGAAAGACTGCTGAATTTTAACTTAATAAGCAGCAAGAATTTATGAATTCATCCCTTTGCTTACATGACATAATTCATCTGGGAAACTTTCATGTGAAAAGAAGACAAATTACAGGGATACTTCCAATTATGTATACAGGTAAAACAACAGATAAGATTTCAGGTGCACTCCAACTCTCATGATTTTACTGGGAATCTTACCATATTTAATGGTTCTTTAAACCCCAACTACTGGAATCAAGTAGTTAGGTCAAAATCTCAACTTCCCCTAAAAACAGGAAATTCTGAACTCTTTCAGTCCTGAAGATAAAAAACTGGAAACAAACACTCAGTGCATCCTAAATGCAGGAGGAAAATAAAGTCAACCCAGAATGGAGTATTATTTTCTTACTGCATGATTTTAAGTTTATCTTAATGATTTCTGAGGTCTGATTCATTTTTAGACACCTGGCAATGGCAATATTGGCATTAATATTGTTTGTGAATCATACTCGTTCTACAATCAAGCCTCTAGTATTTCAGCCTGGAGGTATGATGACCAAACCAATCACCCAAAGCCAAAATCCACATCAATCACCTCTTGGCATGCTCCCAGCAGAACATCTCTCAAGTGCACTCTACTTATCCATTTCTGCTCTGCACAAGTCAATTTAGAAGAGGACCTGAGAAAGGCACCCAGATGGCATTATTGCTGATGTTCTCAAGGGGGGGGGAGGGGGTCAGAGGGGCAAGATCCTACAGAAAGCTGCTTTGGAAAGTGCTACAGAATAGCATCTAATAAAATCAGCTTCAGCTCACAAAAGCTTGTGCTATATATACTTTAATTAGTCTACAATGTGCAAATCTACCCTGCCTTCTAAGTGCCACAGAAGCCATATATACGTACCCTTGAAATCTGCAACATATGGAACCTGCTGATGACATGGCTGCAGGACCCTTAAGCTGGTGAGCAACATTAACACCACCACCCCTTTCCACCTCTAAATTCAAAATCCTGTCTCGGTATCTCTAAATGACCTTTGCAGGTGCTTTTCTTGCAGTGTGAGGCAAAAAACTTTAAAGCCCACAGCTTAAGATGCAAGAGATAAAAATCATGAAAAGTTTAGAAGCTAAAGTATAAGTGAGCAAGTGACCAAAAAAATGTCAGTACCAGACAGTAAAGGATGAAAAACAAACAATAAAAATGATATGAATATTTAAGTAAACATAATCTAGGTAAGCTAATCAGCACTTGAGAGAATCATCAATTGAAGCTGAATATCAATGGTACTTTGTCAGAAACTAGCAGACTACTGATTGGCAGACAAAGGAATAGATAAGAGCAGACTTTCCAGTAACTTAAAGCAAGGGTGTCAAACATACAGCCTGTAGGTCTCAGACCGGGGTGGGCAAAATGTGGCTCGTGGGCCGGATGTGGCCTGCCAAGCCATTCTCTCTGGCCTGCGGGGCCCCTAAAAAATTTAGCAAATTAATATTTATCTGCCCCTGGCTGCCTGTCATGTGGCCCTCAATGGCTTGCCAAAATGTAGTAAGCAGCCCTCTACCCGAAATAACTGCCCCTCTCTTAAGCCAACCAAAGAGCCAGTCTGGCACATGACTGGACTTGGAGCTGTGAGGATCGGCATGGGGTTGCACACTCATGCAGCTCTCCACCACCATACTTCCCATGCACACTGGCTTCAGGGCTAGTCTAGATTGGGCTACACTGAAGCCAGGGTACAAGGAAGATCCAGTACAGCATGCACTCCATGCTGCCCCCCCGCCCCCACATCACGTGAAGCACTCATAGTGCCAGGTCCAGCCTATGCACCATATGTAACACATGACAGCCCCTCTCTGGGGTTTGCACTGTAAGTGCCACGAGGGCTGCCCCATGCTGGCCCCAAGTCACATACAGCACCAACAGTGCCAGATCCAGCCTATGAACCATGTCAGCCCTCTCTGGGGTTTGCGCTACAAGTGGTGTGCAAGCTGCAACTCTGTGCTGTAGTATGACATATGCCTACTGGCCCTGAGTACTGGCTCTGGCATGCACAGATGGCCTGGGGTTCAATTTGGACCCAAGAGCCCCAGAGCCAGCACAAAAGACCGGTTCAGTGAGGCGCTGCATGCAGGGTGACTCCCTGTACTGAAGGTAGTACCCATGAGGCCAAGTCCAGCCCTCACACTAACTGCAGTGCAAGCCCCGAAATGGAGCCATCATGCACTGACTGTGGCCCAGGAGGCCAACATGGGGAACATACTACATGCAGCCCCCCACTGAACTGACCCTGCATGCTGATTTTGGGATGACCTGATCCAGCCTGCAGACTTGCCCAGAGACCCTCACCTGGCCCACAGTACCAGATGAGTTTGGCACCACTGACTTACAGAAATGAGAAGCAATTCCATGAGTAGAGTGAGAAAATATTTTAATAATATAACATTAATTTAAAAAACATCAGGCAAAGTAATGAAATCAAATACATTATCATGCTTGATTTGATGTCAACAATGCTAAAAATTCATTTCTAAATTAAAGTTTTCTGTTGCACTGAGTTTAACTTTGCACTCTGTAACTTAGATTTTTATGATCTTATTGTCGTATTATATTATAAAGATATTATAAAGATGATATCTACTGATGACTTCTTTTTTTTGGCAAAGCACATTTACAGTACTGAATAGAAGACTCACTCACCTGATGAGCATCCAGATCTATAATTGTGGCCTTAGAAACTCCTTCTACTCTTTCAAATAAAAACTGGAATTATAGGTAAATACATGGAAGAAAAAAAGAGTTATGAAACTGAATAAGAGATCAAATTAGAAGCTTGATATTCACATCATATATTTCAGTTTTGAGCTGAAAACACAGTGGGTGCGCATACATGCACACACAACCACACACACATCCAGAGGTGGTGTGGTGGTGCGGTTGCACCCCACTTTTCACAGTCTAGCTCAGTGGCCCCAGATGCCTAGGTCCCTTGAGGAGTCAGGACTATGCCACAGGAACAGCAGTTCAGGATTTTTTTTCCCAAGTTTCTGAAGTAGGTAAGACATCCTCAGCATCCCCTCCTTCCATTCTATGCTCAGTGGTATATCCCCTTCCCTCCTGTTCCTCCCACCTTCTCTCTAGTTATGCCTCTGAGGAAGGGGAGACCCACTTGCCACTGATACTGTCCATGGCTGACGTGGGGACCAGAAAGGCCCCAGAGCTGCTCCTGCCCCACTCCAGCTGGGGCTGCAGGGATCAGCTGCATAGCAAGCTGGGCTTATCCAGAGACAGTGGCAGCAAAGGGAGTGGCCCAGGGACAGGCAAACCCATCCACTGCAACCACTGTCCCTGGCTGAATCCAGCTCCTTACACAGTCACTCCCTGCAGCTCAGCTGAAACACTGGCACCAGACAGGTTTCCTCTGCCTGTACCCAGAGACATGAGTAGAAAGAGTCAGGAAGAGAATGAGAGAGGAGGGGACATACTACTGAGCTAAGATAATAGAAGAGGGAAGGGGATATTCTTACTGCTTTCAGGGACTTAAAAGAAGTTCTTAGCTACTTCTCCTGCAGCATGGTCTGCCAGCGGGGAAGGGAGAGGGCAGGAGGCAAGGCTACAAGTGGGGGAGTGCATCCACCCCTGACGCATTGGTCACTGCTCCTGCACCTCACTTTTCAAAATCCTAGATCCTTCTATGCATACATACACACACATACATATAGATGTAACAAATTAACAGCTAGGTCATTCTGAAACTTCGTTATAGAAAGTTTATATATGGAAGAGTAATTATAGACTATTTTCTGAGGTTATAAAACTATCTTTTTGAGAAGCTTATGGACCAGATATATAAGAATCCACAAGTCACATCATATATATGACCTTATTTTATAGACTGCTTTTCCAAGTTAGGTCTTGTAACTAAAAAAAAAAAAGTACTGATTTTTTATGTGCTTATTTATTAAGAAGATGCAGTGCAGGTTTATGGTAATCAAGGACTTATATTTCTCAAGTATTATGTAGGGAATTCACCTTATCTTAATTATAGTGAAACACCAGACTATATTCATATTAAAAAAAACCCTCTCTCTCTCTCTCTCTCTCTCTCTCTCTAAGAGTTGGCAAATGTTCTGGTAGGATCAAATTGGCTGAAGTTATTCATAAACCAGCACTGAAATGCCTTTAATTGCTCTTCCACATGGCTGAGAAAGTATATTAAAGATATTCAAAAATGTTTTGAGGCACAACCATAACACGTCTTAATTGTTAACACATGAACGGCAGAACTATCTTCTGTACTTGGGTAAACCATGGCAGAATTATGGCCTCCCAATTTGCACTGTAACGAGTGGGAGACTCACTTCAGATTAATCTTTGAGATGTGTAGACTAACATACACAAAACCAGTTATTTCTGATATTATTTTATCATATGACCTGTTATGCAAATGTACTCCTGTGAAATTTAAGTATTTGTTACAAGAGGTTCTTCCTTAAATTTAAGTATATTTGGTTGTTTGCAGAAAATACAATACTAAATATGGTCAAGCATTCCAGAATTCTCCCCTTCCCTCTCAGACATTATTTTAGAGGAATCCATATTTTTTACAGAAAACTTTATAGGCCAGATTCTGTGACTGGACTTGGGAGGGAGGATGCCTTTCCCCGACTGCCAGCTTTGTTGCAAACAAGGGATACTGTGTATCCAACTGCAAGATGAGGACAGCTCCCACTGAGGATTTTAAGAGATTATTAATCTATGGTACCTGGAAAGTATTTTACAGAGATAGAATTGTGACAAAATTTTATTTATTTTCAAGACATCTGAACTTGCAGCTCTTCGCCACATATCTAGCACCACTTCAATGGTAATCAATAGGGCTGTGTGAAGCTTTGGTAGCTGATTCAATCTGGAAAAGATTCGGCCTGATTTAGTGGCCAAATCTTTGAAACTGAATCAAATCTGGGGACCAATTAAAAGGTCCGAATTGAATTGGAAGCCTCCGAATCGATTCGGAAAAGATTTGGTGCCGCTTCAGAGATTCAGCCATAGACTAAACAGACAGCAGTTCTCACCACGCTGGATGGAGCTGCATCCAAATGGTATGTCTGTTGTGGTGGGTGGAGGGAGGATGGAAGGGGTGTGGGAAAGGGAGGAAATGGGGCTGGGACAAGCTGCTCAGCTGGGGCGAGGGGGTGCAGGACTCGGGAGAGGGGTGGAGGGGGTTGCAGGATGCAGACATGGCAGTGCTGGGAGTGGGGGCTATGCCTTGCTGCCGCTTGCCCCCTTCTGCCTGGACTCCTCCTGGGGAGTGTGGGCCCCCAGATCTGTGTGTGGGATGACAGCAGTCTGCTGCTGCTGGCAAGTGATATTAGTTTTGTATTGAAGAGTTTAAGGTCCAATTTCACAAAAACCCCTGCACCTATCTCCTTGAAACTTGAGAGGCTTCGTGACCTCAGGAGGGGCTACCATCCCTGCAATTTCATCCAAATCAGGCAAGAAATAACAAAGTTATAGGCATTTTTATGACTCCCTGTTATAGCCTATGGGCAAAATATAAAAAAAAACGCTGAAACCATGTCAAAACAGCAAAACAGTTTCAATGAAACGGAACAGTGCTTCGAAACAGCGAAAGGAAATACTGTCCCTTTGAAATGGCAAAACGGAAGTCAAAATGAAATGATGCTGTTTTGCACAGCCCTACCCCATGCCCTTTCCCTCCCTGCTCTGCCCACCACAACAGACTTACCAGCTGGAGGTAGCTATGTCCAGCGTAGTGAAGGCTGCTGCCTGTTTAGTCTATGGCTGAATCTCTGAAGTGGCACCGAATCTTCAGATCCGATTCAGCCAAATTGAATCAGGACAGTGATTCGAATCTCTGAATCGAGTCACTGTCCCTCTGAACCGGCCGAATCCGAAGCGAATACTTGCCGCTTCGCACAGGCCTAGTAATCAATGCATACATTATATGCTGTAACATCAGACACTAAACAACATTCAGATCAATCCCCTTCTAAATATTGGGTGTTTTTGTTCCTATCAATTAGGATATAAATGAGATTACAGTTTTGATTACTCTAAACTAATATTTTTTCATTTACGCAAAAAGTAGAGAATTTTTTTTACATTTTCTTACCTTAATAGCCAGTGTGATATCAGCATATGCACAAAATCCTCCACCTTTATCACTTGAACAGTGGTGAAAGCCACCCCCTAAATATAAGGGAAAAAAATTACAGAGTAAAAAGCAAGATACTGTGGAGTACAAAATGATTACTGAAAATACAAGGTCAGTAAGTAAGCTGAGGTCTTTCTTTAATTGAACAAAGAATCTAAAATTTCCAGCCTATTCTGCAATGCCTAGTCTGGTGCCTACTGGTCAGAATGTTTGGCTTCTTAGATCCCAAGATAAAGGAGCTGTATATGCTGAACTTAAATTCTTGCAACTGTACAAAAAATTTGACACACATGACATGGGTGTATAAATGCAGGGTAGAGATCTAACAGGGCAGCTGTGGCATGAGGCAATGCAGGCTGTCATGCTGGTAGGGATGTGAAAGGTTAAATGATTAATTGCTTAACCAATAAGTGCAGCGATAACCAGTTAGTGTACCAGTTATCCTTTAGCTCGGGGCCTGTGCAGTCTGGCAGGGCTTGCCTCCTCCCACCATGTCCAGTCAAAGGGCCCAGTCAAAGTGTTACAGGTTAATCATTTAACTGATATAATAAGAGGAAGTTAAATAAATGTTGTTAAAGTATTTACATCCCTACATGCTGTTGTCAGCTATTTTTGCACCCCCATCCCTAAAGGCATTGTCCAGGGCTGCTACCACAGTCATGCTACTAATTCAGGGTGCCTCTGTGCTTTACTAACTCCTAGTTATGTCTGCAGGGCCTGGGATGGTGTGGATGCTAAGGCCCACTATTGACAGCCCAAAGATTGCAAGTTTGAGGCCACAGCAGAAGTGCTAATGGTATGGCTGTGTCCAATTCCAGTGAATCTGCACATTCTGCTAAATACCTTGTCAAAAGAATACAAAAAAGAAACAAAGTTGTGTCTGCAGGTTTAGAGTAAAACAAGGCCAAGTCTCTTCATCTTCCTCAAAGTGGGACAACAATTATGAGGGTGTTTCCGAAACTAATGGCAATTTCAAAATAAAATCATTTTGTGCACAACAATCATTTCCTGGACCACATCACTGCTCTACATAGTCATATATAAAAAGGCAAACCAGAGTAATTCCATATCAATACTTAATGATATAAAAAGGAAGTGACTAAGAGGTGTAGGCATCTGTTTTATTATTTGTGGGTTTTGTTTGTTATTTATACTGGGTATTTACTTTTGGCGTGGGCTGAGGTAGCAAATAATAGGAAAAATACTGAGAGAGACAGATGTATTACCATACATTTTATATAGCAAATCTGTTTTTGTTAAATTTCTTTACAGATAAAAATTTGCACAGAATTTTTCTTTTTAAGCACGACAGGTTGCACAGATGCTCGTTATGTGGGAATTACTATATTTAGAAATGGTACAAGGCTATACAGAGATAGTGGTCAGAAACTTCAGCACCGGTGACTTCCATGAAGTCCACTAAACAACCTTAATATGATACACAGTCCTGCTTTTATAAATACCACCCCTTTTTGCTCTGTTATAGAAAAAGGACCATATTGATTTTAATTATACCCTTACAATTTATTCATTTCAATTAAAACAAGCAAAATAATCAGTCATTCAACTGGTCTGCTGGAAAATATTCTCCAAACAATTAAACATATGTAACATCAACACTATTATTTCTCTCAATTGTCATTGAAGCACAACAGGTTCTGAAGTTTTATACGGATGGTATTTCATTTCTTGATTGAGGAAATGGCTATTCCTGATTCCCATGTAATACATCTTTTTCTGAAGGGCCCTCTTTTTTTTAATACTGTGGCAGAATTGTTGCTATTGCTGCACACATATTTAGCAGAATAGTGCAATTAGGTGTCACTGTTATTTATTTACTTCATGAAGCGATTTGCATGCAAATGTACTGCTGATAATTGATGTTAGGAATGTAATATATGTGCCCATAAGCATCGTCTTGCATTTCTCAAATCATCTGCTTTTATTACTTCACATTTTATGTTTACTGTGTTAAATATTTCAGTTTTGTAACAAGATAAATTGACAAACAAAACAGCAGAACACAATCGTGCAGTTCAGTTACATGCAACATCACTGCTTCTTTGGGATGCTAAAAGAAACTGTAATGCAGCAAGTCACATAGGTAGAAACTTTAAATCATAGTAGGGTCAGAAATACTATCTCAAGTGACGATAATTGGATGGGTTGGAACATGAATCTTCATGTGTGAGTGAAAGTCATTTCTCTATGTCCCGTTAAGATAAAAGTTTCCATAAAAGCTGTCTTCTCTGAACAATGGGATAGGGATCACATTAAGGTTAGAAGTAGAAAACCTTACCTTGTTCCCTAAGTATAGTAATTTAAAAATATTTATTTTTTCCTTTATCCAAAGCATTAGCTACTAGCTACAATTGGATGCAGGATGCCATAGTAGACTGGATTATAGTCAGTTGTGCTATATTTACTATTATGTTTCTCCAATATTAAACTGATGTTTTCAATTAGTTGCAGTCAGAAAAAGGTGAAAAGACTTAGTTTTTCATAAGTTTCATACAGTACAGATACACCACATAACAGTTTAGCCAGTATAGATACACATTAGGGCTGTGCGATATTTTGACTGGTGTTTCGTTTTGAAGCTGTTTTGATGCATTTCGAGCTCAAAACAGCAAAATCAAAACAAACCAAAAGGCTTCAAAACAGCTTTCAAATGAAACAAGGGTACTCAAAACATTTCAAAAGTTTTGAAGCATTTTGAGTTTCAAAGCTAGTCTTGCTGCAGCTAAACAGAAACTAAGGAGAGGGAGGGGGAAACTTCCCCCAGCTCTCTGATCATTTCCCCAGCTCTTCCCAGGGGGCACGGACCCCCAGATCAGTGTGCTGGGTTTCAGCAGGCTGCTGCTGCAGTTTCAGCAGCAGCCTGCTGAAACCCCCAACACAAAATGGGGGCCTGCAACCCCTGGGAAGAGCTGGGGAAATGATCAGAGACTCCCTATGCCTGAAGCAGGGTGATTGCACCAGAAAACCTTCCTAAGAACTTTTTTCCAGCTACTCAGTTGGTCTAATAAAAGATATCACATCTACTCAAAGAACCTTGCCTGCCTTCTTCAAGGATTCTTTGTCCTTAAGAGGAGTCTACCTTTTCAGGTACCATTTCATCTGAGTAGTTCAAACAATGTTAAACCCTCCGAGAATGTTCCTCCTTTATCCTTATATTTTTTTATATCTATAAATGTATGCAACTACAAACCAGTCCACTGGAAAATTTCCACTGAACACACTGATTATCTGAAGATATTTTTTTTAAATCACAATTACTCTCGTCAGCAAGCTAGAGTGATGTACACCTATGTGCAGAGTCCGTATTTATTATAGTCCCCATCAGTGTAGTTTCTGAATATTATACAACTTTTAATAAATTTATCTCCCAATAAAACTCAAGTGAGATGGGAAAATACCATCATCTATATTTCCCAGAGAACTGAGGCATAAAGGAATTGCCCAGATCCTCAAAGGTGCTTAGATTTCAATCGCCTTCAACTACATAGGAGTGTCAGAGTGTTGTTTTTGTTGGTGATGTCTTTTATTGGACTAATTGTACAGATGAGAGAGATTTTAGACAAGTTTTGGGGCATAAAGTGCCCAAGTATGAGATAGTACCCCAACCACCAAACCACCCTTCTCCTCCAAAACAGAAACATAATAGGTTCGCAGACTTTAGGCTGTACACATGGGTAGAGATCTAGGATAAAAGAGATGGTGTGGCACATAATCATGTCTAACACAACACACATTTTTCTCCCATTATACAGAGACTACAAGCTTTACTAATACGCTAAGAGCTTAGTGCTATACTATTCAGTTTAAGAACAAAGAAAAAACAAATATGACTTTACTGGAATGTGCACTAAATGGTAGATTATATATTATGTTTAAAAACACAACTAACTAGGGAAAACACGGTCAAAAATATTTTTTCATTAGTCCTATAGTCATTACAACTAAATATACATCTTTTATTTATATCCATAAAACAATATCTAGTCTTCTTGAGTGTCTTGACAAAGCAGCCCACTAGGGGTTGTGTGAAATGGGCCATATTTGATTCGGATTTGGCTCGAATTGGGGACAGCGATTCAATTCGTTGATTTGGATCACTGTCCTGATTCAATTCAGCCGAATCTGAAGATTTGATGCTGATTCAGAGAATCAGCCATTCAGCTATAGACACAGCTTTAAATGTTTTTTCTACATACTTCGAGGTACCAGGCGTGGCTCATGAACGCTGCAATGGTGGGGGGGATGGAGCATCCAACTTCCAGATCTGCCGGCAACCGCACAGGGGATACTCCCCCCCCACGGCTTAGTGATCGGCCATGGGGGGACCCCAGGTGCCCCCCCAGACCCAGGAGGCACCAGTCGCCAAGTCAGGGGGTGGGAGGGAAGCCCTGCGCACTCCCTGGCAGACCCAAAAGTGTTTTTGGTTCACTTCCGGGTCCACTGCTAAGCATGCTGGGGATCCACCCGCACCCCCATGGGATGCTCCATCCATCCCAGCATCTGAGTATTCACAATCCACCTGGTACCTTGAGTAAGTAGAAAAAACATTTAAAGCTGTGTCTATGTCCAAATCATCAAATCTTTCCAAACTGATTCGGAAGGTTCCAATTCAAATTGGAGAGATTAAAGGGTCCTTTGATTCAATTCAGATTCGGAGAGTCAGCTGACAAATCAGGTTGAAACTCCACCAAATCAAGCCAGCAACTGAAACTTCGCACAGCACCTACAGCCTGCACTTTACTGTCACTCATTTCCACATCTGAGTTAATATTACCACACATAAATTAAAGTTTTTAGCTAGAGCTAAAAAGAGTCTGCAGCACTGTGAAATGGGAGAGAGACATTACAAGGAATGGCTAACAGACAGTAAAATTACTGAAGAAAGGATAATTTCAATAGTGGAACATCAACCATTAAAAGGAAGAAAGAGATGGTCATTAACACCTGTGTAGTGGACAAAAATAAGATGAGTAAGAATGAAGTAGATTATAATAAGCCATGAAGTCAACTGACTCCCTCAGTGCTGCATGAATAGAAATGACCCTGCCCCTCCTCAGCATTTGTTTTTAAATTTTGGGTAGAGCATAATCAAAGGAGGATGCAATTGCACATTGCTCCCCCCTGGATCTGCCCCTGGCTGCCTGTCACCCTAGGTCAGGGGTTGTCAACCAGGGATATGCGTACCCCTAAGAATACTTTAAAAGGTTGTATGGGGTACACATGGGCAGGCGGGTGGGCGGGGACAGAGCGCACCCCAAGGCATGACAGTAGCATCTCTCCCGGTGCGTTCACCCCTTACCCAGGGGGGAGGGGAAGGGACACATTGGGCACTGCCAGCCCCACACAGCACTGTGGCACCTCCCTGGCCCCCACTCCAGCCCCCATCTCACTCTCCTGACTGGCTGCTACCTGCTTACAGCAGAGCTGCAACAGTCTTAATGGTGGGGGAGGCAGAGAGGGGAAGTGTGTTTTGTGCCCACCCCCCATGGTGCACAATTGGCCAGGCGTGAAGCCCGTCAGCAGCCAGCAGAGCCACAACCAGCCATAAGAAAGTGGCATGGCACAAAGCCAAGTGGGGTGGCAGCGGCCCCCATCCCTACTTGGCACCCCCCTCCCAGCACCAGCACCACCACCACCCGCTCCCCCAGGAGGGCATGGGGGCGCATGCCCCCGGATCAATACACAAAGCAAGGCAGTCTATAGGCCGATGTAGGCTGGCGCCGGGCTGTTGGGCTGGGCTACGGTGGGAGGGGGTTGGGGGAGTTATGGAAAATTTTGGGGTAGCTGCAGCCCCCACCACAGCCCTGCTCCCCGAGTGTAGCCTGGCACAGCTCTGGCCATAAGAGCCCAGCGCAGGCCCAGGCCCAGGCCACAGCTATAGCCCACCCCACTCCATGTACAGATCCAGGGGGCACACACCCCGCATGCCCTCCTGGGAGTGTGCACAGTGGTGGGCGCCACCACCCCCCTGCACAGCCCAGTCCTGCGACCTGCTTTGGCTATGCAGCACCTGCCCCAGCCCCAGCCCCACTCCCTCCCTCACTTTCTTTGCGACTGGGCTTGGGGGACACAGATTGAGACTCCCACAGTGCAAGAGGGAGTGGGACAGCAGTAGGGGCAAATCATTCATCTCTGCCCTACTCCCTCTTGCATTGTGGGGGTCTCAATCCCCAGCCCCACTCCCTCCCTCACCGCCATGGGAGGGGACAGATTGAGGCCCCCACAATGAGGGAGGGAGCGAGATAGGAGCAGGGCTGGGATGAGCAGGGGTTGACAACCCCTTCCTTAGGTGGCTGTTTAAGAAGCAACTGTCAAGATTCTATGTTTCACCAAATATGTGACAAATGACACTAAACCAGGGGTGGGCAATTATTTCAGGCGGAGGGCCGCTGACTGAGTTTTGGCAACCCATCAAGGGCCGCATGACAGGCAGCCAGGGGCAGATAAATATTAATTTTCTAAGTTTTTTAGGGGCCCCGCGGGCCAGGTAGAATTTAGTTTTATGATATAAATATTGATATTTACAACTGCCATACTGATTACTGCTGCTTTGTAGTTCGTAATGAAACAACGAGTATTTTGTTCCTTCAAATGAGTTCCCTATCCTTTATTCTCTTTTCCTAGAAGAGCATAACTATATTTTCCATTTAATCACAAAGCAACAATTTGAATTATAAGGGATGAGGAAAAATAAATCCAGCACTCTATTTTTTTTCTGTAAATAACTTCAGATCCTTATATTTATCCACTACTTGGCTGTTCTAAGGCAGGCAAGAGGAAATAACATGATTCTTTAAAAAAACAAAAAAAAAAGTTGTTAAAATATCTTTCAGTTGATTACATTTGGACTTACCCACATTGATTGCCCAGCCTCTATCAATGGCAAGTTTTCCTGCCTTTAAGAAAAACACAATAAAGACTTCATGAATGAGTGAATACCAATAAAGTCTTTTATCCTGTACATTTCTCTCTCATCATTTCTAAGATACTTATTAATAGAAGTTTTATCACAGTAAGTTATGTTGGCTCTATCCTTTAACGTAGCATTTAAGAAACAAATTTTCAATTAAATATTGCATCTGTATTTTCTTCTCTTGCAGTCATGCTCTAAAACATTTCTAGCAGAGATAAACACTGACACCTAGCAGTCGTACTAAAAATGCAGAAAACATTGTTGTAAGAAAATTATCAAGATGGATCAAGCAAAGCAATAAAACTTGCAAACAAAAAATGAATAGGACTGAATAGTAATTATACTCATGAATTTAATTCTAGTTTATGCAACAATTCTCAGGAGAATATATTTATAAGCACTAAATACTGGATATGTCTAGGTACATTTCAGGTTTCAGGGGTGGGAGACTCAGTGCACAGTGATTTGTTTAAATTTTTCTTACAAATTAATATTCATAACATTGACTAGCCTTAATTCTTTTCACTCTATTTCCTGAAAATCGTGACCACTGCTCTCTTGCAGACTCAAATGGCATTCAAAGAAGAAGCAGCAGAAAATAAGGGAAAGCTCTGCCAGAACAAGGAAAAGCTTATTTTTCAAAGGAAAATGTGAACAATTACCAAAGAGGAGACAGTTAATTGAGCATTTCTCCTGTTCAAAGCAGATATTTCTATTACTACACTATTCTTAGAAATACCTGGAAGGGCTTATAATTTTTTTAGCAAAATAAGACTTTCCTCTAAATTTATTTTTTTTACTTGTGAAGGTAATTTAACAGCTTAGAGGTAAACGGTTAACATTAACAAGTTCTTTGAGGGCTCCTTTAAATATTGCTTGTTTTAAAGGAAGCAATGTGTGAGAAAAAAATTTTTTTCCCATTCAGATGCTGCTAATTTAACCATATTAGACCTTGAACAGAGATTTTTGTATTGAAGTCCAGTACCAAAGAGTCTCAATACATCACTACCACTTCTCATTTCATTCTAATTTCTGGGTATTGATCATTGTACCAGGTCAGAAAAACACCGAAGTACAAAAGGAACTTTATCAATGCCAGATATGCTATGGGCAACAAAAAAGTGTTTTTTTAATTTCTTAATCTGAAGAGTGTATGGATTTATTGCTCAGTAAATTGAAATTATGCTGTTAGGTGGTGGAAGAGTATTTTTATGAAAAAAACAGTACTCTCAGGAGAAAAGGGAAATCAAAACCAATCAAAGAATGTTATTCGTATATAGTTATTTATTTACAAGAAACACTTCAATGCTCATGATTATGGCATATACAGACACATATCAAATAGACTAGCCCTACTTCAGAGAGACTACAACCTAAGTACATTTTCTCAAAGACCACATTTGAATAGTGAATTTGTTTGTATAATCACTAAAAGATGACAGCACAGGAAAACCCTTACAATAGCTGTTTGATGCCTGGCTGGTGAACAACTTGAAATACTCAGGTTACAAAAGCAGAACTGTGAAGACCCTAAACAGAACATCAAGATTCACAGATACTCTAGACTTCCTCCTGGTATCAGAGATATAGCAATATATTTCAGTGGCCAGGGCAAGGTGGGAAGGCCAGGGAGGAATTATGCTGACCACTAGAAAACACGAGTGGGGACGTGGGTGGGAAACCTTACCTGCCTCTGCACTTGGGTGGCAGACCTGCTACAGCTCATGCCCAAGCATACTATAACAGTGTGAGCTTGACCACTGTTGCTGGGGGCTGGGCTCACTACATGCTGGTGCAACAGCTTGGTCAGCATGGACTTCCTAGGACTGCTCCTGGTACTCCACTTGCTCCCCCAGATATGTTTCTGGGCTCAGGGCTATGCTGCTATGAATTGATGTCCAGTGCTCAGGCTTTGGCCTGGGAGAGGGGTGCATGCCATTCACTTTGCTAATCCCCTCTTCCTCCCCGCCCCTCAGCCCCCAGAGATACCCTGACAGGGCATGAGACAGCATCTGCCCAGCTTCATATGGACAGGCTATACAGAGCTGCCCCTGCTGTGGATTCCTGGGGGGAAGGGGCCCACACAGACACCTCCATGGAAAAGACTCCTGGAGGGGACCATACCACCCATTATAACTCAGCGCTTGGGTCTGGTGCTCCCTTCACCCGCTACTGCCTGGTATCACCTCTGCTAGGTGCTCCTTCACCCCCTGGACTTTGTTTTTCCTCACAAAGAGCTGGGAACTCTGTAGTAGGCAATTCACTTCTGCCTACAGCAGTCTCTGTGGGGAGAGTTCATCTAGTGGTCTCCAAAAATTAATTCTTTTGTCCTCCCATCATGAAATACTGACTCTTGTGATCTGTATCACACAGCAAAAGGGAAAACAGTGCAAGGCTCACAGGTAGTACTGAAGGACTCATAGAATGTTTAGCAGCAAAGCAAAGCTTTATGAAACCCAGGAGCCTGGGGAATTACTTTTCCCTCTTTCCTCCATCTGTAATGCTGTAAAAACTACAAGTAAAATTATACCAACAATTATTTATATACAATTAACAAAATTACATGGATTAGTTACCTGAGAACAGAGCTTGGTCCTACTTATTTACTGGTGCTGAAGGTGGTTATTTTAGATTTCAAAGGGATCTAAAGATAAAGCTAATGTTCCCCACTCATGCTTTATTCTACTTTTGCCTCTTTAACTTGGGCCACTGGTAATATATTATTTACAGTAATCCTCATCCATATAGGGACACCTCTTGTGGGAGCTTGAAAATACAGGCAGATTCTATATTGCTTTTCCTTCATGCTCCCAGCAAATTAACCTGTAATACTTCATTTAAATAAGAAGAATATTCCAGCGCAGGTATCTAGTTTTCCCACAACTCACAACACCCTTACATTGCGCAAATCATATTGTCCCAGGAAATGCCGTGACGAAGAATACTTACCAGCAGCTTGGAGCACAGCACACGAGAGGCGGAAGAAGGAGCCCACGTGGCTTGTCAGCCACCTGTTTATTCAGCTGCGGCTGGCCGGTGACGTCAGTGCTAAACGCTGGCCGGTGAAAATAAAAATGGCGCCACGCACTGCAGTCGGGGCGGAGAGACAAGGAGGAGAGTTGCCGCCGACACCGGTAGCAGAGAGGTCACTCCTCACGGGACCCAGGGGTCGGAGCCAGCTGGATAGAACATGAGCAGACCAAGAAGGAACCCCTCGAAGTCGATCCACACGGGACGGTGAGGAACCGACCGGAGCACCGTCCGGAGACATTAACAGGGAGATCGGGAGAGGCAAAACTGACGGCAGGTGGGAGTGCGGAGGCGACGGGGTGTGGAAGGTGTCATGTCAGGGAGAAGAGGACCCCGGGAGAACCCCAAGGGGGTTGCTGTCGGGGCGGATATTACCACCAGATCCACATGGGTCACTGAGCAGGCGAGAGGGCGGAGGTAGAAGCAACAGGAGGGAGGTGACGACCCAGTGCCCTTAGAGCCCCGGGAAGGGTCGTAGGGAAGCCAGAGGGGCAGGCTGTCCAGTGATCTTTTTGGTGTGCACACGTTTTAGTTTTTTGTGGTCATTTTCCCCAGCTACAGGGCGCAGGAGGGGAAGTGGGTCCCCGAGTAGTAGGGCCAAGCCTGAACCCTAGAGAATTGGTCTTGCCCGTAGGTTTTTCTTTTCTTTCCCCCCTCCCTGAGGGAGGGGTAACAGAGAGGCGGACTAGGGAGATGAGGTTCTTGTCGTGGGTGCCCTCTCCCCAGAAGGAGGAGGACGCTGGATGGACATCACTTCATAGGAGGCATGAGGCCGGGGTGTAGGGGTGGTGGAGCCCCGTGAGTAACCGCCAGGGACCCACGGGCCAACGAGTGCACTCAAAGGACAACCCTGCACACTGAGGTCCAACAAGTTATGGCAGGCGAGCACAGGGTTGGAGACTTGGGCAGAGGACACCGGCTCAGGCAAGAACGTGAA